TATTAGCATTTTTTGACGCCTACATTTACTTTAAAAAAAGAAGATCTATTTGAGAACAAGGAGGGGTTATTTTTTTGCTATTTGTAAATGGTTCATTAAGAATCGGGTCAAATTTAAGCCAAAGAAAACTAATACCATAAACTATCATGTAAAATGCTACCTTAACAATGAGAAGAGTCAAGAAGAGTATGCGAGTGCTCAAGATGAAAGAAATGTGAAGTGTCCTTAGAAGTTAAATGCATCCACTAGAAAAAAAAAATCAAATAGACAACTTATGATTTCTAGTATTATAGACTTCATACATGTTGCAGTCCGACTATCAATATCAATTATAAGGCAACAACTTTTTTTTATATACTGAATCTGATTATGCCCAAAGTAATGGGAGAACTTGATTTGACTCCGATTCAGATAATTACTAGGGTATACGATATGAGAAAAATAATCATATCCAAATATAATGTATATGATGCACGAGAAAGGCGTTGACTAAAAAATTTAGAGATTGAAAGAAATCTTATAAATTACTTCTACAATATCTTGAAAAAACTAAGAGAAAAAATCTGGGTACCAAATATAAAATATTGTCTAAAGAGATTGCATCAGGAGTGGATAGGTTCACATGAGAATTTTGGGCATTTGGTTCCGCTATTAAGTGGTTCACATTTTGACATCTGCTTTTGAGCATCAATAACACATATTTATATGGCAAGTACAAATGACTGCTTTGGTTGTGACTAAGGGTAGATGCAAATGATGGGTTATTTTCCTTTAGTCTTTGCAATTGTTGATGTAGAGGATACATTAAGTTAGAAGTTATTCAATGTATATACATGTTAATTCCTATTGCCTAATGTTAGAGAAGGATTACTTTTATATCTGACAAAATGAAAGGTTTTAGAGTACTACATCATCACAGATATATCTTGAGACATAAAAAAATCTATTATGGCAAGCCGGGGATGTAGCGAACACGTTAATGTATGAGCACTAAAGGGAGAAAATTAAGCCATTGTCATTAGAAGTATACAATTGGATTGAACATAACATGAAGCGGCAATACGTAGATCGATAGACATTAAGTAAAGATGGTGGAGTGCGCTATTGTATAGCGATAACTAATTGTTCCAATAATTCTAATGATATACTTAAGAGTGTCCGAGCTATGCTAGTTAAAGCCTTGGTTGCAAGGACATTTTACTGATTGAACGCATACTTTAACAAACAATATGGTGATAGCGCAAATTGGACGATGAATTACACCCCAAAAAATGAGATCATTTTGTAGAAAATGATGTGCCTGTAAAATCGTGTAGGATTACTCGTTATATGACAAAGAGTGAAAGGTTAAAGATTAGGTACTTACACTGTTTATATCTTTGACCAAGAGTGCAGTTTCAATTGTAACATACAAGAACTGCAAAGATTGTCATGTGCACATGTTCTAGCTTCTAGTTCCAATCAAGACAATAGTGCTAGAATTCCTTATGATTGGTATTGCTTTGTTTGCTATTCATAAAATCAGTACCTAAAGGAATACAAGGAGAGTTTTTATTCTCCCGATGATAGTCGATATTGACCTGAATATGATGTATCATGGTTATTACCACCTCAGTGTAAAAAACAAGTTGGCTGACCCTCATCTACGCGCATTAGAGGTATCATGGATCAAGTTCGGGAAGAAATTGTGAAGCGAACTAAGTATAGTCAATGCAACCAACTAGGTCATAATATGTCCCGTTGTCCATCTATAACAAGTAGACAACAATTAATTGGTAATAAGTTTTCTACATTTAATTCATAGTTTTTACTATAATTTATTAGTGTATTATTTTATTAATTCGACAAGTACTAATATGTGTAATTAATTGTATGTGTAAGTATACACACTATGCATCCCGTGTCAGATAATGATGAGGTCATCTATGATCAATTACGCCACTATTTTCAGACTATATCATTTTGAGAGGTAACCAATTTTTTAAATACATGAAACCTAATTTCTATAGTATTATTTATTTATACTCTACTACTATATTTCTTTGTTGTGAAGAGAGAACCAAAGCTAGTCATGGCTGATCATGGCTTTCAGCATACCCTTTGGATAATTTGTTGAATACAATTTGGTTTGGTACAACACATTCCAAAAAGAAGTTAAACGAATAGAGAGAAATTTCAAGGAAGGAGGGCATCATATAGACTAGGCAAATACGTGTTATCAATACATATATAAATGAGATGATAGGCATTTGAATATCTTGGAACAGATTGATCTTCCACTTTAGGAATCAAACTACATCACATGGTAATGGAGGATTACTAGAAGATGGATAAAAGGACAATGGCTCCACTCAATATTGATCAAGAATGTGTCCTACAACAAAGATACATGCCCAAGGGTTTAGATGATATTAAGGTTGTTGCAAATGAGGATCTAACACTTTCTGTTATAGGTACAGATCCAAGAATACATGCATCTCTATATCAGCGGATAGTGTGGAGGGTTTATCGATCTTTGAATCGAACTCATGGGGATCTTTATGATGGTTGAGAGGTGATGGTAGAGGATCTCTTATACACATGATGACTAAATCAACGGAGAGGAGAAAGATCTTATAGGAATGAAGATGAAGCTAGACCGTCACAATCACACACTCAACCGAACAACGAGCTCTTGCAAGCTAAAGTCCTTGGAGTATGATGCCGATCTGCTCAGATAAGAAGAGGGAGACAAAAGGGAAGTGGCAAAGTTCTAGATTATGTGATTGATTTATGGATTTTTGGTATTGAGTCTATTTAAGTCAATAATATATGTTACTTGTAAACTAATACACATGATATATATAGTTTTGTTGCAATGTTTTGATGTGTGGAGATAATATGTATTATCGGGATGTGTTTATTTATTGCATTTTGTTGCGATGTTTTGGTTTGTTTAGATGTGTACGGAGTTACGTACATGAATTTATGGAGTTTATATGTTGATGGAAAATATAATGTTTGGCTATGTACATGATGTGAATTTGAAATTGTATATGCAGAGGAAATATTATATATGTACAAAAGATTAGCTACAAACAAGCGTGCATGTTTTGTGCATGTCCAGAATATACATGGGACTACTAGTCTCATGTATTTTCTAGGTGTTTCTACAGAGTACATGAGACAAGTAGTCCTATGTATATTCTAGACTTCAATCACTTTCATAATTAAAAATTACCAATTACATAGGATTACTAGTCTCGTGTATTTCGAAGATAATTTTTTACAATATCGACCTCTTTTTTGCCAGCCTTGATGACACTGCCAAAAAATGTCAATTTTGCTTATTATTTAGCAAAAGGATCAATTTTGATAATTAGTTTTCAAAAAAGGTCTTTTCCAAAAAATTCTCCAAAATAAAATTAATAAAAATGACTTGGCTTAGGGCCTTCTCCTTCGTAAAAATGCAAATTAGAATAGAGGGTTGATTTTAGAAAATCTGGGCTTAACTATGATACCACTATAAAAAAGTAATAAAGAGACCACTACGTTAATTGTAACGATTGATTCATATAGTGGATGACTATAATTCATTTTTTTAAATGTAGCACTCACATTACTCCCCATAAATTCCACTCATTCCAAATTTATATTCAGAAAAAATAACAACTACTCAATAATCAAGTCGAGAACTAAGATAAAAAGTAATGATGTCTCCGCTACTTTTTAGTAGTGGAAAGGATCCAAATCCCTTTATTTTGCTCTAAAATGATTTTTTTCCCCTCTCCAAAAGTGTTTTCTAAAATTAAACTATTTGACAAATTAAAACGATATAGAATAATCACCACCTACTACTCCCTTCTAATATTGTTCACGTCGTCATCAACCAGCAACCCCACCTCTTTTTATTGTGTCTAATTTCTACATCACCAACAACAACTACCCCCACCAACCACCCTTAAAACACAAAGAAAGCTATAATATGCATATAGGTGTGTATGTGTGCTACGTCACCCTAAAGACTTGAAGCTTTCCACACGCTTTGATTGAGTTGATTTAGTTAGTCATCCTTCCACTGCGTTATAATAGCTTTTTTGTCTTAAAAATTAAAATGAACCAAGCAGAATGAAATTTCTGAATAAAGAAAAAGAAAGACCACAATAGTTTATTGAGTCCTCCGAAGTTCTTGCTTCTGTACTCTCAGGTTTGTTCTTCATAGTAAATGCCAACTAAGGACAAATTTTTAAAACAATCTTTTTTGTAATTTTATTCCCAAAAAAAGATCTCTTTAATTTTTATTTGCAAAACCGACCTGGTTTCAGCCTCAACGCTGAAACCAGATCGGTTTTTACAAAAAAAGTTCTGAAACTTCACGGGGGATGAACTCCCGTGAAGTTTAGCAGTTTTTAATTAAGCTGCTAAACTTCACGGGAGTTGAATTCTCGTGAAGTTTCTTAGTTCAAAGATAATTTTTTTTGAACTGTGAAACTTCACGGGAGTTGAACTCCCGTGAAGTTTCGGAACTTTTTTTATAAAAACCGACCTGGTTTCAGCGCTGAGACTGAAAACAGGTCGGTTTTTACAAATAAGAGAGAAATGGATTGTTTTTTGGGAATAAATTTGCAAAAGAGTTTGTTTTGAAAATTTGTCCAATTAACTAAAGCAAAAAAGCAAAGTATTTGTACAATATTACAATGCCATCATCATCTAAAAGAGAAACAAAAGGCAGTTTTGTTTCTTTTGGTGCTTCAAGTTTGTCGAAATTCCATGACGTTATTTAGATTACCATAAAAAGTAATCACAGGATAACATTACATGTATAAATCACTTGACACCTTGATGACCATAATTCTGAACAAAAGCAACGCAACAAACATCTTAGTATATACAAGAACACATTATATATCTTCATAACAAAAAGAAAAAAAGAAAAAAGAACACACCAGCTGAAGAGAGGAAGCACCATTGCTCCTTTTTAACACAATCGTTTTCATCATTTATACGTCTTTATAATGAAAGACGGTGAATACTACTTCACTTTGTAACAGATTTACAATCCCAATCGCAATTGGTCCACAACCCAATTCGAGCTAAAAAAAAAAAATTAAAGAACAGCGGTAATGGACTGGAGGCATATTAACAAACACAGCCAGCACAATCATCCGTCTTTCGACAAAACAAACATCATAATACTCCATCTAACTACAACAGCAACTACTACAACAATTGAGGATTTATTAATTTTCACAGCCCACCGTCATCATCAATCTCCACTCGACGACGACGACGAGGAGGAGGGCGGCGGAGAAGAAGAAGAAGAAGAAGAAGAAGAAGAACCATTCCAAGGAGTCATATCCATGGGATAGCTCCCCAGCACCCTCAAAAAGGAAGTAAACTCTTGAATCTCCGCCAGCGCATTCTGCGCCCGCTGCTCCGCCATCGACGCCTCGAAATCCAAGTAGAACATGTACTCGAAATGCTTGGCCGTCCCGATGTTCGCATCGTCAACCAACCTGATCGGCCTGTTCCGGTGCGGCCTGCTCTCTATCTTCGTCAGCGATATATCCCTGAACGCGAACGCGGACAGAACCTTGAACAGCAGCGACGTCCCCTCGCGGTCGTGCGCGAACACGATGCTCGTCTTGAAGGGCCGATCGGTCCGAGGGATGATCGGCTCGCGGCCAGCATCACGAACCTCGTCACGTTTACGGAGTCGTCCTGAATCCCATCCGCCATGATCTGGAGCCCATAGAGCTCGCGGCTCTTGCGGACGCAATCGCAGCGGGTGTCCCGCAGCCCGCGTTGACGGGAAGACGACTCGGCGCCGCGGGCTGTGTCGTCGGAAGGGCTCCCGGGCAAACGTTGCAGGCCGAGGCGTTAGACGTGTGCTCGCATTGGGCGAGGGCCCTGCGGATGGAAATGACGCAGAATAATTAAATTCAACACACAGTTCGTTCAATCGCTCTGTCTTGCGGCCTACAGTGATAAACCGATTCATAGTAAAAAAAAGAATAAATAAAAAGCTTAACAATTAGTTTTTTTTTTCCAGCGGCCGAGTACCTAGGGATGGCTGATGACCCGGGTTAAGTATCCTTTCGTACGCCGGGAGGGGTTACGGAGGCAGTGGTGGAGCGGGAGCGGAAGCTCGCCAACAGATGTGAAGGCGGGGCGGAAGGAGGAGGTCGTAGTTGCGATGGATGCTGCCGCCGAGGGAGTTCTGCAAGGGCAGGACGGCGCGGTCGGCGATCGCCAGAGCTCGACGGCCTGGAAGGCGACCTCGAACATGGTCGCAGGGGAGTGGCCTCGCAGTTGGGGTAAGGCTTCCGCGGCAGCCGTCGCTGTAGGCCCAGCGGGGCGCCTTGCTACGGCGACCGGAGCGTAGAGCCGTGGCATCGGGCGGGGGAGAGGTCTGGGTGATGGAGAGGGGCTTTGGGGAGGTTGGAGAGGGCACGAGGTCGAGAAGTCGCCGACGACAAGCGCTTTGTGGGCGTTGACATGATGAGCTGGTCCGCCGCCCGCCCGACTCCGGCATCTGCTTTTTGTTGTTGTTGTTGTTGTTGTTGAACTGCTGCTGGAGAGTGATGGCGCAGTTGCTCCTGGCAGTCGCGGCGCGGTGGAGCCGATGGCGCTGTGGAAGAGGACGGAGGGGGGCTGCTGGCGGCGGCGCGTCCGGGCGGTGACCGCACCGGATTTGGCGGGATCTGGATCCTGATGAGGGATCTCTGGCGGCGGTGTTGGGTGGAGGAGGAGAGGATTGAACGCCATCGACATTGAATTAATGGTGGTTGGATGGTGATTAAAATTTGGGGAATTTGTAGATCTGGAGGATGAAAGATACAGTGAATATCGGGGGGAAGGGAAAATGGATGATGAAATCGATCGCTTGACAGAGATCCTCCTCCTCCTTCTTCTTCTTCCTGTTTCCAATTATTATTGAAGAGGTGGAAGCTGAAGAGGAGAAGAACCCTTCAAGCTGGGGAAGGGAGGGAGGGATAGGGGAGGAATTTATAATGTGTCCGCTTTAGTGGTGGGAACTGATGGAGAAGAAGGTTGGTTGGGGTGGGGGGTTGGTGAGGGGTAATGTCTTATTATTATTATTATTATTATTATTTAGAGTTGGGGGTCTCCGTTGGTCAAGCCCCAGGTTTCCTCACCTACCAACAAACACTTACCATGTCCGGAAAGCAAATATTAGAACCTTATATTTTTAATATTTGGAATTAATCCCTCGTATCATTGAAATTAGCATTAGTCCCTGACACGCTAGCATGAATTCTATCAGTTTTATGGCAATAGCATCATCTCTGCCGACTCTACGAGCGGGACGGTTCTAGGCTGTACATAGCAAGAGTAAATTTATAAATCTACCTTTTTATTTTTACCTTGTACGGCAAAAAAATTAGCGTGCGGAAGATTTTGGGAAAATTGGAACTCTAGGGGATATTTATAAGATTCCTATTCCACAAATGTATTACTTATTTTAAAAACTAGCTGCCAACACGTATGAAGTGCAGTCTGATCAGCACCTATTAACGCTCTAGTGGATATTTACAAATTTTCAAAACCGTCCCATTTAGGATTTTATTTGCAAAAAACGACCGGTTTTTTAAAAAAATTGTAAAAACCGACCTGTTTTCAGCCCAGGCGCTGAAAACAGGTCGGTTTCTATAAATATTTTTACGAAACTTCACGGGAGTTCAACTCCCGTGAAGTTTAGTGCATTTTTAAACATCACGGGAGTTGAACTCCCGTGAACTTTAATTTGTTCATAAATCTTCACGGGAGTTCAACTCCTGTGAAGATTTATGACGCTCTCACAACGCCCATAGTTACGACCGCCGCCACCGCCGGTGCTCCCGACCGCTTCCGCCGCCCTCGCCGATTCCACTTGTCGCTTAGATCTCCGACCGTCGATCTAGATCTAACATTCTATTTTTAAGGTAAATTCTTCCTTAAAAAATTTGTATTCTTAATTTTTTGTATACTCTCAGTATTTCATGGTGATTATATGTAAAAAAAATAGATTTTAGTATTTACTTATGAAATTTGTGAAGAAAAAATTTAAAAAAATTGTGTAATTAGTGGGAAAATTATCAATAGTTGTTGAAATGAGTGTTACTACATATGCATGACATGAATTAGATTTTAGAATTTAATTGTGAATTATTTATGAATTTTGTGAAGAAAAATAAAATAATTTTGTGTATTTAGAGGTGAAAATATCAATTAATGTGAAAAATAGTGTTACTACAAAAATGTAAAAATGAGTAACAATCAATAATTAAATAATTTCGTGTAATATTGATCTTGAATTTTTCACTCTTCAGAGGTAACGATGAACGATTGAATCGTAATTCTCTGTTCTTATGATGGGAAGATTAATTACCTCGAAAATAATATGCTCATATATGAAGGCGGCGCGACGAGACCGTTGTTCATAACAAAATCGTGTACTTTCGATGAGTTGGTTAATGAATTACACAAACTTACATTAACCAATTCACGTGAGTATCACCTCAGTGTGGTTTGAAATTATCCTGTTGTGGGGAACAGAACAAGTGGCATTCAAATATCAAGTGACTACGATATGAGTCTCATTCATGTCTTACATGACAAGAAGCGTTCGATCGAATTGTTCATTGAAAAACATCAGAGGGGTTTGGGCAAATCGTTGAATTACGAAGGAAGACTCTATTGCACATGATAGGGTGCGTACTATTTCCATATGCGAGCAAGACTCTCGTACATGTACGATGGCTGCCACTGCTGGAGGATTTCGGTGTATGCGGCGCACTATCGTGGGGTAGTGCGGTGTTAGCATACTTGTATCGAGAATTGGGTAGAGTATCTCTGAGGCAGAATAAAGAATTCAAGGGATGCTGCACGTTGATACAGATTTAGTCATGGGAGCGCATTCATATTGGACGACCCACTTTACTTATGCACCGTGACCTGGAGGGGCGGTATCCTTTGGCTTACAGGTATAATTGTACACAAATTTCATTTGTTTTGAATTTATACTTATATATTCACTATTCTGCATATAGGTATAATGTGCGATACGCTCAGTATGGATCAGCGACGCGTCAGCGTTAGTTTTACCAAAATGAGCTTGATGGCCTCCAACACGAACAGGTAAATATAAAACTCAAGAAGTATGAATATTATAGTTTTTTGTATGATACTGATAAATGTTTCATTTTATTTCAGTTCAAGTGGAGACCATATACACCGTCGGAGCTCGATATGCATTCTCTTGCACCAATATGACGAGATAGTCCCGACTTGTGGAGAGCCAGAGTTCCATTGATCTATTGGGAGATCATGGAGATGCATGTCCCGGACCGTGTACTACGGCAGTTTACGCTCTCTCAGCATATTCCAGATCCTGTCGAGCAGATCGATCGTCGACGGCGCCCTACATCGCACCGTACTGACTGGGTCGTAGTCCGTGCGGCCTAAATAGACAGGTGGGTTCACAGGTGGGATTTCATATGAGGCCCACAGCTGTTGACTATACCGCGTATATGCATTGGTATTAGGATATCACCCGTAGATGGATCACGCGTGACCCACAGCCGTCAGCTGGACACATGCCACGCCCACCGACAGATCGTTACATCCCTAGCGGGTTGAACGAGAGAGATTACGTAAGTTTCTAAGTTAAATTATAACATTTTTTAATTAAGTTGGTACTTAATAAATTGTTTACCTCGCAGGTCCGTGTTTTAGATAGCATTGACGCTGATATTGATGCGCACGTGACTGAGATCCAGGATCAGGTGGTGTTAGGGCTCATCAGCAGGATCAAGAAGAGCATAGCGTAGGTGTTTCATAAGACTCACGTCGAAGAGTTCGCAGGCCGTGAGGACAGGTCTGCGATCAAATTGGGCGAGCGTTACGACTCGAAACGTCGACAGCAACACACGTGATGAATGACTCGAGACTAATAGAGATCGCATGCCAATGAAGCGGCACTTGAAGGCAAAAATAGTGTCGCATACAGTGGAAGCCCGGAACTTGCGCATGCCCGATGGAGCCGGCACTGTTCGAGCTTCATAACACAGCGCGGATACACTAATATAGTTTGCAGCCCAATCAGCAGGAACCAGAAGACGGGGAAGAGCGAGGGGGAGGAGGAAGAGAGGGAGAGGAAGGAGGGGAGCTATATTGGGTTGTATCTGAACTTATTTTGTTAAAATTTGTAACTTTTATGAATTTTTAAATACAAAACTTGAAATGATCAATTATTTTTCATATATATAATCATGCGTGTTTAATTCATGGTTGAATCATGCATATATTATTGTAGTTGTTGTTTGCAAATAAATTGGTATATATATCGGTGCTAACAGGTACGTATACAAAACATGCACATCAGGTTGTGCATGTTTTGTATAACCTGCAACTTCACGGGAGTTCAACTCCCGTGAAGTTGCAGTCTCAATTTCCCAGAGACAATTCTCTGGGAAATGTCGCCTGTAACTCCACGGGAGTTCAACTCCCGTGGAGTTTTATCCCCAACTCCACGCGAACTTCACATAGCTGGGGGCATTGTGAGAATGTCATAAATCTTCACGGGAGTTCAACTCCCGTGAAGATTTATGAAGGAATCAAACTTCACGGGAGTTCAACTCCCATGAAGTTTAAAAATACACTAAACTTCATGGGAGTTGAACTCCCGTGACGTTTCGTAAAAATATTTATAGAAACCGACCTGTTTTCAGCGCCTGGCTGAAAACAGGTCGGTTTTTATAATTATTTTCAAAACCGGTCGTTTTTTACAAATAAAAACCTAAAGTGGTCGGTTTTGAAAATTTGTCCTTACTTATTTTAAAAACTAGCTGCCAACACGTATAAAGTGCAGTCTGGTCAGCACCTATTAACCCTCTATAAATAGTGGGCAATCTCCACTAGTTGAAGGTATGCAAAACTTTGCTAAATTACTCTATGAAACTAGATTTTGCAAATTTGCTTGATCTATTACTGACTCGAAAATCGAAAGGTATGCCGGAGCAACAAACTCCGGCCCTCTAAAGGGTGTTCCCTATGCATGATCTTCTTCCCCTCGGTTAATTAGCCATCAACGAAGATCAATGTAGGTTGTCGAAAAATTACTACAGATAGCTGATCACCGTAGAGCACTGATGATGAAAGTTACAATCTGATGATTTTCACATTAACCAATGAGAGTTACAAATTGACGACTCTCACCATAACAAACGAAAGTTACAACATGACGATTTTCATGACAACAGATTAAAGTTACAATCTGATGACTTTCACAACAACAGATGAGAGTTATAAATTGACGACACTCGCATTTCAAAAGAGCCAAATGTAAGGATTACAAGATGACCATCATTGCAATACTCAAAGAAAGAGATTACAATTGACGATCTCTTCAAAGCAAAAACGCGAGGGTCATCCCCGTGTTTCAATTCCAAAACGCGAGGGTCCTCCCCGCGTTTTAACTCCAAAACGCGAGGCTCACCTCCGCTTTCTAAACTTCAAACGTGAGGCTCACCTTCGTGTTTCACAGAGCTGAACGCAAGGCTCGCTCTAGAACGCGAACCTCGCATTGACCGTTTCAAACACGATTTGAACTGTTTTTAAATCGTTTTTTCACATAATAGGGCCATTAAGCCCCCATTATAAGGGGTCGGTTACACCCCTAAAAGCCTATAAATAGCTGAGAATTCAGCTGAAAAAAGATCCTCTTTTGGATCATCTTTGATTGGCTTTTGTTGAAGCTTTTGAGAGCTTTTGGTTTGGCTTTCGAACCATCTTTGGTTGAGGAACTTTAAAATAGGTTATTTAGCTTATTTCAGATTAAAAAGGATCAAGTCTCCTTTCTAAAATCAACTCTTTCTCAGAGTTCTTAAACTCGTTTTAGAGTTCTAAACTTGCTTTGCAAGTTCTTCCCGACGTGAAGTCAAGAGGAATAGACTAACATTCTACGAAGCGAGGTGCTCGGATTGTTAACGAGATACAAGATTCAAACTCACATCCCCACCAAGAAGAACCCAATTTTAAATAAAGAGAAGGATCTCCGTTGATTCATTCTCTCTTTTGTAAATCAGGAAACCGATAGGAGAAGATTATAATTTCTTTTTTCTAAGTTGGTTAGAGAGAGATTACCGTGAGAGATTGTATTCATTCTTTTTCTTAAGTCGGTTAGGGAGATTAATACAAATTTTATTCTTAATTTTTTCGCAACTTTTTTCCACAAACAAAAGATGGCGACTCAGCCGGGGATCAACTTTTTCATCGATGAAGAAGTGGTGGCGCAATCTGACACCAAACTCGCCGGAATGACTGTCGAAACTCAGGCAAAGAAGAACGCTGCTCGCCAAAGAAGAAAATCCCTACGACGAGCACAGTTTAGAAAAAGCCGACCAACCAACCAATGCGAACTTCATGTTTGTGAGCCAAAATGCGACCCTGAGCTTCACGTTTCTACTCTAGAATGTGAGTCTCGCGTTTATGCGCCCAAACACAACCCTCGCGAAAGCCAGGCTAAACACGACCCTCAATGGCACGTTCCACAGACGAAACATGAACCTCGAGTATGCGTTGAACGTGAACCTGAGCTTCGCGTTACTCAATCAAAACGCGAACCTCATGTTCAGAAGGTGGATGCACGCGACCCTCGCGTCCCCTCTCTCAAATGCAACCCTCGTGTTCAGTTGCTCAAGCGCGACCCTCACGTTCAGTTGCCCAAATGCGACCCTCGCGTTCAGTTACCTAAACGTGACCCTCGTGTTTCAGTGTTAAAATGTGACTATTACGTGATGTGTCAAGTTGCGTTCATGGTGACCGACATGGATTTCAAACAACAGATTTGCGCGATGTGTTAAGCAGTGAGACCCCCGTACTGGGTTATTCGTAGCACGACTAGACTGATGGGCGGACATAAGAAGTCTACGGATTCAAGGCATCTCAACAAAATCCATGTTTATCAAGAACCGGTCCTGTCCAACCAAAGACAGGGGGTTCTAATTCAAACCTCACGTTCAGTGAGTAACTCTTTTCAAGTGTCTACAATATGGATACATGAAGATTCTTAGTATGTGGATCATAACCAGCCCCACTCTTGTTCTGGATCCACTGTGTTTAATTATATTATTACTATTTGTAGACTCCATCTAATTGTCTTATATTAGTGTAATAACATATCGTGTTTTCATCAGTGATAGACCAAAACCACCAGCCATAACCAAAAAATAACAGGAAAAGGAAATAAAATTTGATCTTAAAAATCAAAGCCTCTGAATCCCTAGTTAATAAGAGAGGGAACGAGATTCACCTATGGGTTCGGAGAGAATCGGATGGAACCCTAGAACAGCAAGATCACAGAAACAATAGAAACCCCCTAATTAACTTCTCCCAAATCAATGCTCACCTTCATATCTTCTTTCAAACTGAAGTTACAGGAGAAACCCTAGTCATTCTCCATCTTGGGAATAAGATTTCACCAAAATTTCGTCGATTTGGAAAGAAGAATGCTAGGGTTTTGTAACAGGGAATAGAGGAGGCGGGTAAAAGAGGAGGGAGAGAAAAATGAGAAGCAGCGAAAATATGGCTGAAATAAAATCCCGCTAGGGTCACGAGAGAAATAATGGGGAGGGTTTTTGCTAATATGGAGTGTTTTGTCAAAGATCAATACCAAATCCTCTCTCATTATTAGAATTTTTTAAATTCCAAAGCTTGCATGTTTTTTGCAATTTAGGATTCTTTTTTTTTTTTTTGAAACAACACAATCTATGGAATCCAAAAACCCAAAAATACTCAATTTTTGATCCTAGGATTTAAAATCCATCACATATCCCTAAAAATTGCTTGAACCAAACACCCCTTTGGCAGAATGCAAAAACGTACACAAGAGATTCTCTGAGCAAATGACAATGAACCCAGCCAAAACTTTCAGTTACTGTGGATTCCTACAAGCACAAAAGATCCAACACAATACATGACAAGACTGACAGAAATGCCTCGAGCACTTCTGCTCTTTCCTCACTCGAGTTTTTCTTGTATCTTACCGGAAGTCCAAAAGAATACTGACATAACCCCATATCAATATTTCACGATACAGTAAAGATCTCTGTAACAGGCACATGCATAGATAGTATGCTCAGATTTTTATCATAAGCATCGTATTCTTTGCTCAGGTTCAATTGTGAAGCCTCGCAAGCTTGCTGAGATGAAAGAAGCCGAGCTAAAGAGTTTAATTGCTGATATCCATTGTTGTTTCTCTTGCGACGACCTAGCTTTCCTCGCACAGCAGCTCTCATATTTGCACGTGGCACATGTGAACAGGAAAACTTCACCATGCCAATGTTTTGCTGAGCATGGCCTGACAAATTTTCAATCTTTTGAGGAGAAAAAATGTCAGTACACAACTTTCTGCTTTCCTTCCAAGATATAAAGGACTCTTGTAACTTGGGTGGAATCTGCAGCAATATCCAGAAGAGAAATTAGTTTTTTTTTTAAAGACCATGTCTAGTAACTATTCCAATTTTTTCTCCCCGTAATTAAAAACTTCACCATCCAGTTCGACAGTAACAGAATTCTTTGATAGTACTGTAACAGGCATATAAAATTCACATGTAGAGAGATGAGCAAGACATAGAACATACATTTTATATGATTCCATCAGTATAAAGCGAAGAAAACACCTGCAATACCTTAATCATAATGCAAAAAACAAAACGAAACAAAAAACGGAAAAAAAGAACCTCACACCCGAACCCTCCTAAAGAAGAGGCAAAAATGGCAACAATCTAATGCAGGAAAATTTTATACGGAGCATCATACCTTCAAGGTACGATTATAAACAGGGGAAATTGTGTTAGCGTCTAGAATTTTTCAGAAATTCTACGCACACAACTTATCCATTTCTTTTTAGACCTCTTCAATCAATGATTCACTCCTGTAACCCTTTATTAATGTTTCTATAGTAAAGTAAAAAGCTCTATAATACAAAGATAACTAAAAAGAAGCTATGGCAGAAAAATAGTTTGTACTAATTGGGTTACAGGGGAAATTGTTGATTTCAGGGGCCTAAAAGATGTTCTTTTTTTTGTGGGTGGGAGGTATGTCTGTGTGAGTAGGGACAATTAAAGAAAACAAAACCGAACAACAAATGATGAATAACAATAGTAAATTTACCGTAGGAACTAAATTATGAGAGGCTAGCGACATTGATAGAGAGGAAAAAGGAGTTTTCCCTGGCTTATCTTCACCCTCATTTTGACCAACCGTACCAAAGCTAGTGGGAGCCCCTTCATCCTCATCCTCATCCTCCGAATCTGCTTCATCCTCACCACCTTCAGCCGACACCCGATCACTATCCTTCTCAGGGACAACTCTCTTCTCTTCCTCTTTCTGCTTCAACTTCAGCTCATTCTCCATATCTTCCAATGCCTCTTCAAGACATATCTCAGCTTCAATAAACTCAAGCTCCTTTTCTACAAGTTCTTTATTCATCTCCCTGGCTTTCTTTTTCTCCTCGATCCAGTTATCCAACCTCTCAAAAAGTGGGTTTAGTTTATTCTCCAATGATGATATCATACTCCCCAATGTGCTCTCTTTTTTTGCACCTGGTTCAGCTCGTCCATAGAACTCATCAAACCCAAGAGGTAAAAACTCAGCTTTTTCAGGGTCCACATCTTCTCCTTCTTCCAAATGAGGCTGCCAGAATAAGCGAACACCATGTTCTTCATCCTCCACAAAATTGATCAGCCTTCCGGTAGGAGTGTGAACAATAAGAGGGTCTTCTGTGTAAATAAGTTTTGTTGGGTCTTCAGGATCAGGCTCAGGCTCCTTATTGATGAGAACAAATTCTGGACCGTCATCTGGAGAAATAAAAGGGTACATTCAAAACTCAAGAGTTTGAATTGATCTTCTGAATATCGAATGAAAAATACAAACTAAAATAGGCACCAGGTTTCAGCAAAACAAGGATAAGAAGAGAAAGGAAAACAGTGAATATAATGGCAAGATGGTACAAAATGATGACTATGATGATCAGAAACATGGTACCTTTAGACCACCAATACTCAAGCTCCGCTGGCATCGGAATTCTTAGTGGTGCTTTATAAAAGGAATTCAACCACATCTCCCTTTCCTGATCAACTTCTTGAACATATGTCTTCCAGTAATCTGGAACCTATGAAAAACAATATACATTTAGATCATGCAAAGGGACAAACTTATGGTTGGACATGCCATAATAAATTGTTTACCTCATAAAATTGGCTTACAAAACCAGGAGCCATCCACACGTCATCTTCCTCATAGAAATATGGATGTTGTGGGTCCCCATAGGGGCCTCTCTCCTCCCTTATCACTGAAAGAGAAACAAAAAGCACGAAGAATCAGACAACACTAACCCTGAAGTAGAAGAATAAAGTAGAGCAGTAATAATGATTAAAAAAGATTATAAGTGAAAAAAGTAACAGTAAATAGACAACTTAGTATGTATAAATGAAGTCACTATCAGTCACAGTGTCGTTCATCTTCTTCCCAAAATAACTTCAGAATTTACAGTGTTGACTCCAGTAGACAACACTTGCATTATGGTATATGAGATAGTAAGCAAGGTGCTTTGTAGAAATCAACTAATGGTGCATCTCTCTGCATATTTAATATGTATATGTACAAAAAGATGTATGCATTGTGTAACACCATATGTTTACATATACATATATAAATAAATGGCAAATGACCCAAAACAAATTTATTCTCATAGTGCTAACAAATACAAAATGAAGAATAGAGTTATACTTCCATCAGGCTTGTTAATAAACATCCGTGCCTTCGCAGCAGCAACTTCAGCAATGCCAGCATGCAACTGAAACAAAACATGAATTTATTAAATTGTTTTTGAAACAGTAATTCTGAAGGGGGCTACATAAATACCGCCGACACATCTGAATCACACCCTGTTGAGTCTTCTAAATGTTCTCCAAAGTAGAATCTACCCTGCATATCCCACAAAAAAAATAAAAAATAAACAGTTAGCTATTGTTAATACTTAGTGGAGGATGTCAAAGTATTAAACAAGTATTAGATGATTTTTTTTAACATGAGAATTAAATCTCCTATAAGATATCATCTCAAGCACTCAAGCTTCCGCTAGAAAATACAGAGAAAATAAACTTTAGCATGCACCAAACTAGGGTGCCTAACTCTAATCTAAGCCTATTCTTGTGAATGTGATGAAATATGGATGGCATCACTAAACCGAGAACGTTTGGGGGCTGACCAACTTCGGCAGCCAGCTAACCTTAAGAACTACAGGTTTCAGCAAAAAAAAATGATGAGTTGATATGCACTTACATATATAATTCGCTCGTTGACTTCATATACACCGCAGCCATGCATCCGCCCATGCTTCCACTGCCCAGCATATCTATATCGACCTTTTTCTCTGTCAAACGAACTCGATAGTCAGTAGAGTAGAAGTGAAATCTTCTGCTGTTTCAGATGAAATGCTCCAGAAGACAATCAATTAAGAAGGAAGAGTGATCATAACTGGCTATGGTGGAGATAGTGACTAGTCTAAATAGTGTAGCAGTGAACTGACCAACACTTTAAGCTTCAGATATCTTAACTCTTTATGTCAAAAGCATCTTAGAATATAACATATCCAAATATGATCATGAAGAATAATCTTGTGCTAGCACAGTGATGTTAAATATGGTCCAAGCAAGAGCTGAATATTAGACTTTAGCATACCAGCTATCCAAATCAAGTGAGTTTAAAAATGTTAAGATGTTTATAAATAAAAAAACGGGGGTTTTATATGCCCTCGCCTGGCAAAACCAAAAATAAGGTTTATGAAGATAGTGAAACAATTTTTGGATGTGGCACTGATATTGGTAAACCTGAATACTGATGCACTGCAAGATCAAAACAAAAAACTAATGTTAGTTAACCAAAAAACGAGCATAAGAACTTACGGTTTGTGACCAAAAACCTTAAGCCATCCCTCCCTTTCATAGAAAGGAAATTCTTTAAGATTACCAGCTAGAAGAACACTATCTTCTATGTCCATCTCCAACCACTTTTTATCTTCTGGGGACATGAAATCTCTAGCTATGATTCTGCCTTCTGCACGCATCTTAGCTTCAAGTCTAGAAAGAAAGTGGACCAGAAAACCAATTTAAGCCTAGATTCTCTTGCGGGCACAACAAGAGTGGTAAATAAACCTGACATACTTTGATCCTGGTACAGGCTCCACTCCAGGAATCTCCACTTCAACAACACCATGCCCTTCCATTTCGTTCCGAAGCCACTCTCCTTCATACCTGCATGAAAAAATAGCGTTCTCACTCACTTTATTTAAGTAAACAATGCCCTGAAAAAAGGAAGGAAAATGGTAATATGGAGATCATCTAGAAGAGAATATAGATGATAAAATAATGCCCTGCTTCCTAAAGAAATATCAAGAAATTAGCAGATGAAATATAAGAATAAGATTGCTTATTGTTAACTTCACACGAAAAAGAGTACATAAAGCAGCTAAACTTTGCCACTCATTCACTCACTATCTCCTACATATTCGAAGCAAGTAAAGAATACATAAAATGCACAGAACACCACATGGAGAAAGATGTCAGAAGTGAACCTAACAAGTCCCTCTTCAGCAACGTAAACACCTTTCCCATGAGCCAAGTCATCCCAAACAGTTCCTTCATACCTTAGAACAAATAAGCAAACTTCATTAGAAATTTAGTCAGATCTGACAGACTGCAACCTGAATAAAGGTGTAGCTACAAATAGAAGTCAATACTAAACAAATAGCGATCAGTCGAAGAAGGAAAAAGATATGGTTTGCTGAACAATAAAGTATTCACAAAAAAGAATTATTTTTACTAATGGAACATATTTAATAGTAAACAGATCACATCTCATACATTCCAAAGTTCGAAATCATCCAGCACCAAGTACGCTTAACCTTCCTTTTAAATGGAGAATGACATACTCGTTGAATCCTTCAACTTGGAACTTTAACACAATAGTGGGCCCATTGACAGAACATGTGAGTTTGATACATATGTCCATGTCAATGTTATACCTTAAGCATAACCCTAGTTATATGTTCATAGGTGGGGAGATGGATCGTACATTGTCCAGCAATAACTTTTACATGTTATGTTGTCCCAGCTATGCTATTGCTTATCTTCCACATGCTGGTGCTAGATGACTAATGCTGGTGCTAGATGACTGTCACCAACTTGTTCATGTCACATGTACGGATGAGGTTTTACAGATATTACGAACTTTGCCTGTGTTGTCAGTCAATATATCCATATTTGTAGCTGAACTAGGTAACATAAGAGGAAATCCTCCCTTTTGAGCCTTCAGCCATTTGAGGGGTACACCATGACCTAGGATCGTGTATTAGACGAAGGTAATAACTAATCTGCTTCTTATTATAATTCATATCCAAAGGCCAAAGTATTGAGTTTATTTGGGAGTGATCCAGTTGCGAATTTCTCAACAAAAATAGGTGCAAACCTTCATCGGAGTATGAAGGATAAGGGCAATAAGTGTGGGGCAACTTGAGATGTCATGCAGGTCTCCATGGGTTTAGGAGGCATTTCATGGTAGAAGTTGCATAGAAGGTAATTGATAAGATGCAAGCTTTTAGAGATAAAATGGAGAGTTCATATGGGACTGTGTTTGCATTTATATTGCAACTGCATGTACAAGGAAATGAATTGCTAACCATAGAGCTTCCGCCAAGGACTTCAGGAGGAATTACGTAGACTTTAACCCAGTTCTGTTGACATCAAGTATCTATGGTATTTTGAAGCTTTTGCTCAACATAACAGTCAAATTTCTGATAGATAGCATCTCCTGGTTCTACAAAAATCATATACACGGGTATCTAGTGAAAGAGCAATAAAAAAAGTCCCCTCCTAGGCTTCGACTAATACGTCAACAGCACCGTGCTATAATAAGGGAAAAACCACCTAATTGATGCCTCTAGCGTCAAATGCCAATCAAAATCCAAATGTGAACGTCTTTCATCCTCCATTTTGATTTTGCGACGATTTTTTTGGTGCCACAAACAATGCACATTGAAAACTAGATGTAGTTGGAAGAAGAATGGCACTTACGAGCTTCCGTCGGGGAAAACGAAGCTAACCCACTTGAGAAACTCCTCAATCCTATCCAGCTCCTCGATCACAGACTTGGGCGTCGAAATGTCATGGTGGTTATCAGGTATCACAGGATAATACTTCCTATAAGGAAGATAAAACGGCGCAATCGCAGGATCCCTCCCCTCCTTGATCTCCTCCTTCACAATCTCCCACTCCTCCTCGTCGGCCCACACCGGGTCCCACCCGGGCTCGGTGGCATCGACGGGCCCATCGCCAGTAGCCTCCCTCAGGTCTCTCTTCCCGCCAATTCTCTGGATCTTTGGGGAAATGAAGAGGTCTTCGCGTGCGGTGTAAACGAAATTGCGCTCCTCTTGCCCTCCTCCTTCTTCTTAGGGATCGGCTCTCCAGGGCTTCGGTGAACTTGCGGACTGTGGCCTCTGGGGATTTGTCGTTCTTCGTCGTCGCTGGAGCTGTAGCCGCGTAGTAGGTGGTCGGGTCGCCGTCGGAATCGGAATCGGAGTACTCTTCTTCTTCTTCTTCTTCTTCTTCTTCTTCTTCTTCGTTGGGTTGCTCTGGTTGTTGCTGTTGATTTGGGGATGTTTCGTCTCCGTTGGCCGCCATTTTCGACGGAGGGGGCGGTGAACGGGGAAGATAATGGGAAAGGATAAGGTGAGGGGGGAAGATTGTGAGGATTTATTAGTAGGGTTTGTCGTGTGTATACCCTTCGGATGAGGGGGATTTTTAAATTTATCCATCGAGTTAGTCCCTCGAATGACGAATCTTCAATAACGTGATTGATATTTAGCCCCTCGTATCTTTAAAACTGCTCATAATTACCCCAAATCTTAAGCTTCTTGCAACCTAGGTCCTTCATTGACGAAAGCACCCTGCCCTCGCTCTCCAGTTTGGCTCTCCTAAATCCCTAAACCCAACTCGAATTAATAAACAAAGCATTTTACAATGGATTACTTAGATATTAGTCCCTCAAATCTTCAAAAATTATATATCCGTCCATCAAATCTTTGAAATTGCACATTAGTCCCTCAAATCCTAAAGGGTCTTGCAGTATGGTCCCTCAATGATCAAAATACCCCTCATTTATATATTTGAATATTTCCTACTAAACTTCATCTTGTTAAAAAAAGGGTTATTTGCAGTTTGATACCTCACAATTTTTCATTGTTTATTTTTAATACCCAAAAGTTTCTTCAACCCTACCTTATTTAAATTTAATACCAAAAAAAATTTCCTAACAATTTGATAGGACAAAGTTTGTATCTTTAGCTTTCATATCCTAAATTTTTATTTTTGACACTTTAGTAGTCAATTTGGTTATCGAAGTTGAGAGATGTATAAATTTTGAGAACGATATACACTTACTAATCATGTTTTTAATTTGTTTTTGGGGTTCCTTGTGATTTTAGTTTTGAGAATATGATCTTCTTTACTGGTGGTTTCAATATGTTGTCTTTGTTGTTGTTTTTTGTTTTAGAGACTATTCAGCTAGTTTCAAGTCACTATAACTACTATATAGCAGTATAGCTTAAAGACATACAAACTACAGACCAAATTTTCTATTATTTATCAAGAAAGAGGATCAATGAATCTAAATACCAAAATTGAGACCTTGTCCATATATATTATTTGATATCAAGGGACATTGAGTTACCTCTTTGCCGTAATTTTTGCTTCAGATACATGTTCTGTGTGTATCAGAACTTGTCATCTCACTTTTCATCCTTGCACTTCTCTTACTATGAGGAATACACAGGTTTTATTCGGGTCCAACTATTCACACTCCCAAACAGTAACTTTGAGGGTGTGTGAGGACTAAAAAATTGCCCTTCTCCCACCGGACAGCCAATCCGGTGGGTAATTAATTTTTCTGTCTTTTTTTGTGTCCCACCGGACACTCAATCCGGGGGCATCTATATCCCACCGGACAGCCAATCCGGTGGTTTTTTTTTTTTTTTGCCCACCGGACACATAGTCTAACGCGCCTGTCGGCCACCGGACACCGTGTCCGGTGGGTTATAATTTTTTTTTTGTTTTATTAACTAATTCCATTTTAATTGTGCATTTTAATTGTAGGATTTGGAACTATATCGTTAATTGATTTTTTATGAAAACTATTAATGATTTTTATTTGTTAAAAATGTTTGAAGTGTTATTAAAAAAAATAAATTTTTTTGAGAACATATATAAATGTTGGTTTAATTTTAATATAATTTGAATTTTTAAAATCGTTAATAAAATTTGTTTAAGTGTTTGAAATGTTTGAAGTGTTAGACTATAATGAAGGATAATAATAAAATTTATTAGAAAATCAAAGTATTAATCTACTCAACGAAATACATCAATTGTTTTTTCGATCCTAATTAATTGTTCTTTTTTCTTCTTGTTGCTGCTCGACGTTCTCCATCTTCATTGTGGAGACGGTGGATAAGGAGTCCGGTGGCAGCAAAAGGGCATTTTCGGCAATCCAACTCCCAAAATTACTGTTTTGGAGTGGATATAGCAAACGTGGTTTTATTCTTAGAAGTATGGGCTTAAACAAGTCCACGAATAGACATACCAAGATTGTTTTGGGGTTCTGATATTTAGCTTGAAAGTATGCAGCCAATTAGGGATCAATTGGTTGGTATCTCATTCCTATGTCTTTGAATTTGAGCAACAAAAAGATCCTCTGACTGAAAGTAGTTTTTTCAGCAGAAATGTAGAAAGCCTTGGGAACTGTTATATGAAAATTAATGTATGCTCAATTTTTCAAGGTAAGCATTAACTTTTATCTTCAAATGTTCATGAAACCAACTCCATTAGTTTGATTGAGCACATGACATGAACTATTTTTCCCTCTGGGCTCAATGTAATAACAAATTTGTGTCCAAAATGTTTCCCTATATGTTATGTATCTATTATCATGAAAAGTAAGGAAACTTCAGTCTGAGACGAATGGAAGTTATTTTATGCTGGTTTTATTAAAAAATTATTCAGCTCCTGGATGTAGTCAATAATAACTGTTGAGGAGGTAGTATGTGCTGCTTGAGAGGAGAGATTGATACCAGAATATGATTCTAGCTATATACATGAGTACTTCTATCTCGGAACCATATTCGTAGTGGACGCTGCATATCCATACCAGACATGTGAGAATAGAAAAGATATTGACAATTTATAAACATGTTATATCATCAAGGACATCAAACAATTAGTAATGAGGAATGGTACTGAGTATAAACTAGTTTTTGGTTGCTAGAGCATTTTTAGACATGTAATCCTTTAGTTTGATGACAAAATAAATATTGCTATATTTCTTATTATTCCTCCTTCATTAGTATGCCATAGAACATCATCTTTTTTTATAGGTATTTTGATGTTTCTATTTGTTGCAATTGTACTAGAAGTGCTGAGAGTCAAAATATCATGTGTATTCATTATGTGCATTACCAACTTGTGTTTCGAAGAATTGTTGATATTGAAAGGTGGTTGTCTAGAAATTGGAACTTACAATGAGGATGGGTAACTCGCAGTGTGATATAGATGCAAGAACCATAAAGTTATAGCTCTTATTGTTGTTCATAGTAAGTTCTAAGTTATGTGTTGCGCGCAGCGGAAATTTCGGCAGCACTTCGGCAGCACAACAAGAGAGTCAGATCGCAATAAGAATTCTCGTCTCACCAAGGAAACAAGAATCTGAAGCGGATATCTCAACCAAGTGAGATATCGGCTCTTCCTCTCATCAGTTCTAGGACTGACCTGTCGAGGGATCCTAAAAAGCTATTACAAATCACACAAAAGCAGTACAGCTAATTTTTACGTGGTTCGGCAAATTGCCTACGTCCACGGGGCAAGAAGGGGGGAGATCTACTAATAGAGGGAGAGATTACAACTAGGGTTTCCAATCACTCACAAACTAAACCCTCAAACAAACTCTCAAATCCCTCACAATAGCTCTCTACAAAAGGCTGCACAAAAGGACTGCACCAAAACAAATCTCCTGTTGAAAAATACCCAAAGCCGAAGCCTCTGTTTTTGCACCTGCAGCCGCACAAGAGAACAAGAAAAGAACAACCGAACAAAACCTGCCTTGCTCAATCAAAACCCTAGGAACACTGTTCCTTTATATAGCCTTGTGATTATTCGGGTGGGCCGGCTTGGCTTCGTGTCCTCATGCGAAGATGAAATAGAAAACTGTCCGCGTGATCCGGCTCTTCACGCGGAAGTCCGCACTTGCCTTAACGTGGGTGGACCCCACAAGACGCGTTCACAATTCTCCACCTCGGTGAAGTTTTTCTAAAACTGAGCCGACACCAAAGCAACCAAATGTCTCAACTTGTTGTGTCCAGTACGAACTTAATCCATAACAAGTCGAGAACCCGAACGAGAGTCCAAACAATCTCACCCCCCAGCACTTAACACGCGGTGGAGCCGAGGGAGGCGCTGCTGCAGCCGGAGGGCTGCCGCGCAGCTGCCGCAGCGAGATACTGGGGCGGAGGAGCAGCCTTTCTTCTTGGAACCATCGGAGCGAGAAGACGGAACAGGATCACCGGAAGTTGGAAACGAGAGGCTTCGTTAAAATCTTCGAAGAAGAGAGGGAAAGTCGGGTGACTATTGATTTGACCCTTAGCGGTCTATTTTAGAAGCTATGAGCTGTCAAAATTCGGGCGGGGTTCTAGGCCCAAATCCCCAAACGTGGCCTGTGGCCCTGTGAAGCTTGAGCTTCTGAACGCAGAATTCACCCTGCCGTTATAATCCGCGTGCATCTACATTGATGGAATCCCTAAACGCAGAACTTTAACCTGCCGTTTCAGTTCAATAACGCCAAGAAATCTTATTGTGCGTTCTGACTCAACCACACGACTATCTTATGTTTATAGCCAAGACATGGTTCCAAATAAATAGAGGAGGCGAATGTCAGCTATCAAAGCCGGACTAAAGCAAGAAGAAGTAAGTGACCCCACAAAGAGTCCATTGGATGGAGTACAATTAGATTCCAATCAACTAAGTCTGACAACGTCTTCTAAAATTTTGAGATCCAAAGTATTCCGAAAATCGTCCCAGTCAACCCGCGCGCGAACTTTCGAAACTTTGGAGGGGTATCTGTAGCTGTCTAAAAAATCACAATGAGATAGCCTATCCCCTATCAAGCCCTGATAATGCGAGTTACCATCAGAACGACTTTCTAATCACTGATCCCGCAACTCTGCACCGCTATAACAAGGACCTCATCTCATTGAGGAAATTGATCTTGATGGCTGCCGACAACAAGCATGATATATTTATTAAGCAACTATTAAGAAGTTGCTGATGAGCAGTGTAATGATTTAGAAAATAAA